GAGCATCTCTGTGATTTTCTTCAGCTCGGTGTAAGAGCGTGTGTGTGTGTGTGTGTGTGTGTGTGTGTTTGTGTGTGTGTAGCATGAGGTTAGTGGGGTCAATGATTCACGGTCGCTCCGAAAAAAGGAAAATGATCCATCATGTCTTCAGAAAATACTTCACATTAATCATAAATGATAATCACACATACATGAACAAAGATCTCCCATACACATAATATTCTTGTACAGATAATAAAAAGCATCCAAAAATGTGTAACAACCATCATCAACCATCAGCTAATTGCTGCTGTCCAATAATACCAGATCTGTGCATGCAGTATTCACTCAAGCAACATCACTCATTTCTTTATCCATTCATTCATTCACACACATCTATAAGGTTTAGGTGGGTGAAAGGGCTACCAGGAGAAAAACAAACCCTCACATAACTAAAACAAAATCAGATACTCTTCCAAATATTTGCCCTGTCACTAGATTCCTCGCTGCTCGCAGTCACTCACTCTACTACAGTTCCCACTGGACACTGGAATGAAATCCCCAGTCTTCACACTCAACAGACTCACTCAAGGTAAGACAGTTAGTGTGTGGTTGTGAGTCGGTACAGTGCCTCTTTGTGTAAAATACTGTCACATCATATTGAGAACGAGCTGCTGGAATACTGTGGCTTTATAGTTTGCCAAAAACCTCCAGACAGCTAACGGTGCAACATCTCTGCTAAGACCACCTCCACATACCTCCAACTCTCAATTTCCCTCCATATTTCTGAGAGTATGTAGGTGAATCTCACAAAAATGTCCAGGTTATATTTCACCATAAACTCTTAATTGTCATGAAAGCAATGCTATGCTTTGTAAAAAGTGAAGAGTTACTAGGCCATTAGTATAATATAATGCATGAATGCCATTACATTTATAATATAATATAATATCATATAATATAAATGCATGAATGCCATAAAATTAAAGTAACAAATGCAAAAACGTTTTATTTGCATTTTTCTAAAAATATTTTTAGAATTTTATTTTGTGGTGAGATATGACCCAGATTTTATTTCAGACACATTTTCATAACATTTGCACTTATATGATCATATTTACAATCCAATTTCAAGCATCAACAATGCCAGTTACAAAACATTACCAGTTTGGTACTATTAAGAAATTAATACTAAACACTAAGATTACACTAAACAGAAACAGACCTGAACCTCTAAACTTACTGTAAATGTAATTTCTTTAACTTTTCTCTAAAAGCATTAATGGTCACATGATAACAATAATACAGGTTGACAACAATGACTGACATACCTTTCAGTGTTAAAAATCCATCAGATGTTTAATTTGCCAAAACACAGGTGAGATCCTGTGGAAAATACACACTCTCTGATGTGTTTGTTTGCATTAGCGTGTGAGGTTATGAATATGTTTTGCATGTGTTTCTCTAGTGCTGGAGTATATTCTCTGTCTCTACTCTTCTGTGTGTGAGTGGCTGAAGTTTGCGCCGGTGCGCTGGACTGTTTGGTGAAGAGGGAGGAGGCTAAACCAACCACCCCCTTCCCCAAAACACACACACACACACCCTCACATAAAC